ACGGCCGAGGCCGAGAAGAGGAAGCAGGATAAGGGCAATAATTTGTCTATTGAGTGCCCAAATAACGTTTTTATACCAATGACGCGGCTTTATCGTTTCTTAATAGCTACTCTTTCTCCATTCATGGAGTCTCTATTTTTTGTTTCCCTCGCCTTGAGTGCCGTTGTTGAACCCGGGTCTGAAAGGGTGGTGTACAAATGTTTGCTGTTGAAGGCCTGCCAAGCATGCATTTTGGAACTGTACGACGCCAAACGAGTTGCGCACCCACAGTCCGGCGGCAGCGGTTTGCTCAAATCCGCTCTGGAGGGCATTGCCATGCTGCACGGCGTCGAACTTGACCCTGCCGCGAAGGAAGCGGCGTATGTGATTCCCGCAACGGCTGACCGCACCGTGCTGTTGGAGCGACTGCAGCAGCTCATGCGGCACGTGTGTGAAATGCGCTCATCCTCCCCTAAGTTGTTGAGGAGGGAGGAACAGAAGAAAGCGCGGGAAGACATACTGAAGGAATATGTGAAGCATCTAACAAGGATGAAGCGGCCATCAAAAATGTGAGGAGCACCAGAAAAAGAAGAAGGGAATGTTGCCGCACACACAAACACACACACACACAAGGAGACGCACGCAAAAATGGAGGGTGGAGACTCTTATTTCATAGTTTTGTGAGAAGATTGTAACAGTCATGTGGGGGTCCCAATATATGTGTGTATGCCACCGCCCACGCCCTCCTTTGTTTATTTTTTCTTAATTTACCCTCTTCGCGAGCTGACGGTACTGTGGGGTCGGTGGAGGGAATTAGGTGTGAAGACTGGTTGAGTGGTCGCAAAGCTTTTTTTGTTTTTCGCTTCTCCCGTTTTCTCTCGCCAATCTCCACCCACCCCGCGTCTCATTTGTTTTTCTGTTGTTGTTTTCTGCATGCTTTCTTTGTGTCGCCTTTGCCGCCGGCACGTCATTTTCTCGAGGCACGTGGAGGCACAGCCAAAGAAGAAGGAAAAAAATGGAAAAAAGAAGAGGGAACCAAACGATTTTTGCGAGCAAAAAAAAAACGAACAAAAAAAAAAATTTGATGTTTTTGGAGATACACATACACATAAAAAAAAAAAAAGAAACGTGTGCGCTGGGGAAAGAGACGGTGACCAAGAAACATACACAAAAAAAAAAGAAATAAAATTAAGAAAAGAACGCGTCTGAAGATCTTTGGAATAAATATGAGAGCGGAGCTAAGTGACGGATACAAACTGTCTCTCTTTGTTCATCTCGAATGGGCATCTCTTCCACAATTTGATGGATTGAATGTGTTCTTGCAATAGGTTTTTTGGGGAAATTCCATGAGCCCAAGTGTGTTTGACCTTCTTTGTGTGACTGCATGGGTTTTCTTCTCTTTTCATTTCTTTTTCTGTTTACTGCTTGTGGTTGTTTGGGGTGGCGCGAAAGAGTAACGAGCAATCGGTGACCTCTCGGCGTCTGTGGCGTGGACAGGCGTGGCATAGGCGTGAAAAAATGGGGGAGGGAGAAGGATGCGGGAGCTTGCTACCGCAGATGCCCTCATTGCGTCATGGTTTTAAGTTGTTGCGCACGGCCTTGTGGTATATCTGCTTCCCGGAAGAAGTTACGGTGTACATTGATCCCATAATTCGTTTTATTTTCACGGTCTACCATCTTCCCCCAATCGCACTTGTCCTGGCGCTCACGCACAGTGGGCTTGAGCGCATTGTCTGGGTGCTTATTGTCCCCGTTGCACAACAGATGGAAAAGCAGCCCTATGACTCCTCGTGTATGACGACATTTATGCTTGGAATGTACCATATTTTTCTTTTGATTTTGCCGTACTCGACGTTGGGGGTTGCCGTGGCAACACTTGGTCATAAAGTTCTTCATTGCTTTCTGGAGACGATGGTGGATGCTCACTCGACGCACCAGGGAAAGGATTACCCACTTTTTGCAGCTCGGCTACGATTTATCATGCAAGACAGGCAGAGGTATTATATCTTTCTTGTTGTTTTATTTCTCCTTGTTTCTGTGGCACTTTCAGGACTGCATACTGACCTTCTTGTGGCATGGCCAGCACGTGAGCCTTGGGTGGTCTCTGGTGCATGGTGCATCATTGCTCTGCAAGTCTCCTTTGTATGGGGATCTGCAATCAGTCATCCGGAATTACCTCCTCACCCTTTTATCTGGAGACGCATTGTGGGGATTGGGGACGGTGAATTTGCTCGGTTTTTTTGTGGTACGTGGTGGAAATCGTACATTCATTACATGCGTTACATTGCAATTGAAATGGTTGCTTTGATTGCCTTTGTAGCCCTTTTCTTTCGTGGGCCTTTGTACGTCCTATCATCCTCAGTGGAGCTTGTTATGTATCTAAATATGCCTCATCTTGTGGGACATGCCGTAGTTTCTATTTCAGCCTCCATCATTAATATTCAATGCTCCTTAAATTGGTTAAGAAGGCATTCTGACGCCGTTATTCCGGTCATATTTATTGCTTCTCCTTTCCAACTGTTGTTGTTTCGGGCCATGCTTTACTTCCGCCATCACCAGATGACCGTTTTATTACTTATTGGCGTGAATGTTCTTTTTATTCAACGTGTCATTGATCTGGTACGGGAATTTGATGTAACGGAGGCGGGATCCGTGTATTGGAAATATGTCGATAAGGATGAGCCTATTCCACCATATCTTTCTGTCATTTTGGAGAATGCGTATGAAACTAAATCGTCCCATGTTGACGTTGCAAGTCTTGACTATTTGATTGACATTAAGGCCATGAAAATCCATCGTGATGGGGAGGAGGTGGATCTTGAGCGGAAGCAGATTACTGAATATGGAAACGCCCATAGTTTCATTTGGGATGGTCGGTTCTATGCGTATACCGTTCCTCGAATGATTTCCGTGCAAAGCTCTAGACACTTTGGTGGCAAGCACTTTCGTCGAGTGTACATTTTGCTTCGCATGATTACAAGTTGTTGTTTGATGGCCTTTACAGCCCTTGTGATGGGTCTTCTTTTCCAGGCGGCCTTTCCACAGCTGCACCCGTTGCCGGTTCGTGTCTCCGTTTCGGCGGACGGCAATGCATTGACCGTCGACCACATTGTGTTACGCATGCACCTCCTTTCTGGTCGAGCGGATGTGACGCCAACTCTTCCTATTGCATCTTCGGCCATGGGGTCCGCCTCGGCTGCCTTCAAGTGGCACAACGCCACCTCCTTGGGGGAAGACTGGTACTCCTCGTTGTGTGCGAGGACTTTCCATGACATTTCCATCTGGGAAATCTCTCTGCTCGCACTGGCCTCGTACCTCTCCAATGATGATGAGGTCAAAGAGATGCTGGACTTCATGTCGATGCACATGGGTAGCGACTGGGTCGTCCGCGAGCGTCACGGAAAAGATTGCATCTCTATTGACTCCTCCACGCAGCCAACTGGGTGGGATGGGTATTATGATTTTTATAGTGCCAAGCATGATCTGTCCATCATTGCTGTTAGTGGAACAGACATGACGTCATTTCGGGATTTTCTCATTGATGTGAATGTGTTTTTTGAAGTTGTTTTGTACCATCTGCTCTCAAATATTATTCCAGGAGCTGTCATCCTTCCTTCAGAGCTCATTGCAGATCTCATTCGTCTGGCGTCTCTTCCTGCAGCCAAAAACCGAGAGCCCGAGACATGGGAAACATTGATTTCCAGCCGGAACACAAACCTTCGCGTCTGTGAGAATAATAACTACAGAAGAGATTTTTTTGCCGATGTTTACAACCATCTTGCGTTCGTAGGAAGCCGTCCGAATCCGCCGAAGCACGTTCTTCTTACGGGTCACTCCTTGGGTGGCGCTGTTGCGTCTGTCATTGGTTCGCGGATGGGCATTCACGCTGTCGGCTTTAGCGCCCCTGGCATCTCCCTCTCACGCAAGAAATTTGGCATTGACCTTGAGAACATTCATAAATTTGTGACACGTGTTATCTCCTCGCATGACATCTTTCCCATGATTGGGGGCAGCGGAGGGGAGGAGCATCATGTCGAATGCCTGGCGAAGACGCGAGAGCTCTGCCACGCCATGGAGTTTCTCGTGGGAACATTATGGCGATCATGTGGCTCCATTCGAGCGCGCTACCCTTCGATCCATTCGGTTGTTTAGGCGATATTGCACCACCAGCACCTCCTTCTTCAACAAGGAAAAGAGGGGAGTGGATAGCGAACCAGAGAAGAAAAAAAAGGATGGGAGTCACTCACTCAATAAGAGCGAGATCTTCACAGATTGCTCTAATATATATTTATATTTATATATACAGTTTTATATATTAATCCTCTTTTCCTTCTCTCTTCTTGATGCAGTTGTTTACCTTTTGTCGTTTAGAATTTTATGTTAAAAAAAAAAAAATATAGATTCAATGGCCCACACACTCGGTAGAGTAACACGTGCCCTTTTAGGCCTCGTGGGGTTCCAACCGTGCCCTGGCAATACGCCGCTGGTCGATCCCCTTAGCCTTGTGCCAACAACAACAAGAATCCCGTGAGGGAAAACAAATGAAACCCTCCTTTTTTCAGGTCGGCCGTGGTGCTGCGCATGATGACGAGTGTCACCACCATTTAGCTCGTCACTGAAGTGCAATTCGCCTCTCAATGCGTCCCAGTTTGGCATCCCAGGACCACGTTGCTTTGTATTCGCAATCACCCGCGGTGGATTGGGTGCTTCTGTCGTCTCTTGGGAAATAAACGAAGGCACGTCTGTACGCGATGAGGTATTTGTGGTAAGCAGTGATAAACATTTACTTCAGAGAAAATCGCTCCTACACGCATGGAGTTCATTTATTATTTATTGCCATAGTGCCTAAACATTATTCCCTGGTGATTTGATGACATTTGCTGCATGTTTGCTTTCGTTTGTTATTCTGCATTATGTATGTGTGTCTGTGTTGTTGTTGTTGTTGTTTTAGTTAAGTGGAACAGGAGGGATTTTCTCTTTTTAGTTGTTTGACTTGTTTCGGAATAGCTGGATTGGGGTGGATGCGTTGTGGAGGTCGTTGGATTGTGGAGCGGAGTGATGGATTTGTTATTGAGGTTGAAAAGCCTGGTGTGTCTGTTGTCTTTGGGAGGGACATAGGACTCCCGTCCGCGCAGAGGATGGATGGCAAGTACGTCTCTCGTCAGCAATTTTCCGTGGAGTGGAAAGCATCCTCGCTCCACGTTCGGCAGCTTGGGAAAAATCCAACGTTTTACTCGATGGAGTTTCACACGCTTCCAGGTGACGGAACTGCGGAAAAGGAACTGGTGTGCTGCCGCGAAGAGGAGACGAGGGAAGGAAAGCAGATGGGTGACGGTGGGAAGGGTTTGAACGTCATTTTAGTACCACCCGTGAGCAATGAAAATTTTTTGGCCTCTTTGCGAGGTGGTGCAAAGGGCATTGAGCCCGCCACGCTTCACTTCCCGGGGGAGTTAAATTTGCCTCGTTTTACTGTGCGATATGTTGTTGCCGATGAAAAGAGCAGTGAGGAGAAGATCTCGCGTGAGATGCTCACTGTTCCACTTGGCTCCTCAAAAAGCGACGAGGTGGAAGAGGATGAGCGTGCTAACCAACCTTGGATGACCGGAAGTTGGCGGGGGATCCTTGATTCGGTTCTCCATGAGCAGCAGCAGCAGCAGCAGCAGGCGGAACGATGAGGGGAAAGGAGGGGGGATATATTTTTTGAGGCAATTCTTTCTTATCGTTTTGGATTGAATTTTCCCGTCTCGGCGAAGAATTTTGTGGGCGAGCGGTGCCATGCGCATTTATTATTATTGTTTGCCCTCTGTGTTGAGAGTATTCCTTGTAACATAATATACATATACATTAAATACACATAATATGTTCGTCTGGACAAACTGTGATATCTTGAAAGAACTACTGTAATAGATGCCCTTTCTTCTTTGATGCTCTATGCAAATATATATATATATATAGGTTTGTTTTTTGTTGTTGTTGTTTTTTGATTCAGGGAAGAAGAGATTTGTTTATTGAACGGGAAAGGGGACGTGAAAGAAGGCCAAGTTAGAGAGTGAGTGCGAGAGAGTGTGAGAGAGTGTGTGTGTGTGTGTCATTGCGTGAAGGGCGAAAAGAAATAAGTAAAAGAAGAGTGAGACGAAACGCACAAGGGCAATAACACGAGGGGTGAGAGTAGAGATGCCAAGCACACCCACCCCGCAGTGTGTGCGGCGGTTGCAAAAGGAGCTTTCCGCCCTATGCCGAGAGGCCGAGTCGTTTTTTTTCACCCGTCCCTCAGCAAAGAGTATTCTGGTTTGGTATTTCGTCATCAAGGGTCCTGCGGATACCCCTTATGAAGGCGGTCGCTACTTTGGCAAGCTGAATTTCCCCCCCGACTATCCAATGAAACCGCCTGAGATTATCATTTTGACGCCAAATGGACGTTTTGAGACCAACAAGAGCATTTGTCTCACCATGAGCAATTATCATCCGGAGAATTGGAGCCCTTTGTGGGGGGTCCGCACCATTCTTACGGGGTTGCTCTCTTTCATGGTGGGAGACGAACTCACTACTGGGTGCATGACGAGCAGCGATGAGTTGCGGAGGAAGTACGCTCGTGAGAGCCGTCGTTTCAATGCAGAGAAAATGCCAGTATACAAGGAACTGTTTCCAGAGGAGTATCAGAAGGACTTGGAGGAATTGAAGCGAGAGGACAATGAGAAAAACGGTCGTATTTCTGGAAGTGCTGGCTGTGGTGCGAATACGAAAGGAGGAGGTGTGATGGAATCGCAAGAAAAAGAGCAATGGCGTGGGTTATTCCCGGCACTTTTGGGACTTTTTGCTGTGTTAATGGGAGCCTACTTTTGGCCATGGTAAGTTGTGTTGAGTTTCAATATTGTTTGCGGATATATATATATATATATATTGCTTGTTGTTCCCTATTCAGTGAGGCGCTTCCAAAAGGAAACTGCGACCAGACGAAGCTAAATCAGTAGGAGTGAGTCTCTTGTTTCAGCTCCGCCGTTTCTCTACACTCATTGCTTGAACCCTTTTCTTCAAAGGTACCACGTTGCAGAGCAGGGTGTGCAGCTCTCTCTCTCTTTTTTTTTTTCTTTTTTTTTTTTTTTTGTCGTTCCACATACTCACCTTCAGCCGTAATTCAGGAAGGGATTGGAATTCCGGCGGTTGCAATGGGCCCCTTTATAAAGACTTCCACTTTACGCATTCCCAACGAAAATGGTTATTGTGTGAGCGACATGCCTTTATGAACTCATTTGTTTCGCTTTTGTGTTCTAAGCTATGAATACATTCTGTCGTGACTTTTTCTGCGTCTGTGATGTCGAGTGCACGAAACCAAACTCTCTTTTCCCCTCTTTTCTGTGTTTTTTATCATTTATCCTAGCAGTGTTAGGACGATGCCTCTCATACAGACACATTGCGCGAAAAAAAGCAAAAAAATCGAAAACTTCCTGACGGTGGTGGGGTTCGAACCCACGCCCCTAGAGACCAGAGCCTAAATCTGGCGCCTTAGACCACTCGGCCACACCGCCACCGTCCGAAGATGGAAACCCTTCACGATGCTGAAGATCGCGTCTTGTTTGGAATACATTTGAAAAAGATTTCTCCGTGTTGGTCGACATACCCAAGTGGTTACGGGGTTTGACTTGAAATCAAATGCGATCTCGCGCGCAGGTTCGAACCCTGCTGTCGACGGTTTTTTTTCCAAGAAAAAGGAAAAAATGCGATCAGTGAGGCTCGAACTCACGACCTTGGGATTATGAAACCCACGCGCTGCCGACTGCGCCATGCTCGCCTCTCCGCAACGAAGACACTACGTAAACTTGACATTTTCTTTTCAAATGTTTTCCTCCCCACAATCTTCTCTGAGACTTCAGTTCCGGTGTGGTATAGTGGCTAGAACAAGCGGCTCTCACCCGCTAGACCCGGGTTCGATCCCCGGCATCGGAATCTTTTTCCTTGCACGGTGTTTCAAGTATGAAAGATATTTTTTCAAATCACATACTCCTCATTATTTTTGCTCATGCACGGCGAGCGAGCATGGCGCAGTCGGCAGCGCGTGGGTTTCATAATCCCAAGGTCGTGAGTTCGAGCCTCACTGATCGCATTTTTTTTCTCCTGCTTTTTTTTTTTGCAAAAAGATTCCTTCCGGCCGGAATCGAACCAGCGACCCTGTGATTACCGCCGAAATTCTACAGTCACATGCTCTACCAATTGAGCTACAGAAGGCACGGTGAATTCGGCCACAACAATAAATACATAAGACAAATGGTTGGGAATTTTTTTATCCTCAAAAATCGCACTGGAACAAAGAAAAAAAGCTTCGAGCGCTGATGGTCTAGGTGGTTATGACGTCGCTTTAACACGGCGAAGGTCTCGGGTTCGAGTCCCGATCGGCGTACTTTTCTCCCATACAGCAAAAATAATTTTCCTTCATGAGCGTTTGAAGCCTGCTGTATCGCGATCGTTCCCTAAATAAAAGAATGCATTCATTTATCAGGAAGCATTCTTTATGATACTCTCTACCGTATCAACCTTTTGGGAAGAACGCGACTTTGTAGGGGCAGGGAGCCGATAGAGGCCAGATAATGTTTGTTTTTATTTTTTTACAGACACACAGCCAGGTAAGTTTCAGGAAATGGCTTTGGTTCCCTACACACCCTCCGAGTGGTGTGATATTGGCGCCCGTCTCTGGGACATGGTGTGCCAATGTGGCGAGACCCAGGTGCAAATGACGTTCATTAATGGTAATCAGATGTCGGATGAGACGTTAATGGTGGCCGCATCATCGACAGGCTTATGCTTGTTCCATGGACCTACCTCTAAAGCACGGCAGGATTCTACTATTATTGGACATATTGCGAATCTACGGGCGCCTCAGATCCATAATTTCGAGACACAAGCGCTCCTGCCCGCTATGGGGGCAGCCCGGGAGTTGGGGCAACAACAAGGGCTCATCACTGCTGACAGGGAGCGCCTGAATTTTGATTACGCTAACGCCGTCGCGGACGTGCAGAATCGGAATGCTCAGCTTAACTCGCAGGTTGAGGAAGCGCATATTAACCTATTGGTGAGGGAATCCAATATTGCCGGGGCCGGCAACCAGGTCCTAGAACCACAACGGCAATTGGAGGCCGCTTACGCCCAATTACGGGAGCGCGAATTCAACTTGGAAAGGCTCACGGGTCAACTCCAGGAACGGGAGGCACGCCATAATGCACAACAACCCGCGCGGGATGCGGAGACGGCGGGGCGGGACGAGGCCCCCGCTACTCGACACGTTGCCAACGGTGGCGTATCTACACTACCGCATCAAACGGATATCTTGATGGCTGGAGGCGTGCCTGGCAGCGCGGCCCGACACAGTTCGGCGGCTTACAGACGCCCTCACGGCAATGTTGGGAGACCACATTTCCACCCCTCCACGCCGTTGCCTTCCCGCACTTCTCCTCTGGAAGCCCAATCACCTATGGAAGAGGACCGCGGTTTCTGCGCATTCGACGCCACCACGCGGCCCACGCGTATATGGAATGAGGGCGCCTCCGGAGTCGTTTTCGACCTCCGGTGCGAATACCAATGCTGGTACCAGGACGACGAGCAGGTTAAACTTGCCTTTGACAATTTGGTCGAGTGGATCGGCGTGCTGGAAGGCGGGCGGGATCCCACCGATCGCTTCATGAATTTGGGGAGGTCCTTACTGAATACATTCCGGATGCAGCTCACGATTGCATCCGATCCCGGCATCCGGCTTTCCAAACTGCGCGCCCGTCTTTACACCGCTGTTCACCAGACGGACTCCTATGCGAAGGCAGTCCAGCCTCTCTTCGATCGGCGAGAAACCCAACGCACTTTGCGATGCCAACGATGACATACCTATGGACACGAGGCGTCTACATGCAACGTGCGCCCCAGAAGGAATTACTCGCGGCGCAGATGGCCGTCAAAAAACGGCAGAGGGGCTGCCGCACGCCGCTCATGAATGCTGGCGACGGCAGCCCCATCCATTCCGCCACCTCCCACCAATCCTCACAGGCAGCGCACCGCACCGCCGATGCTCCACCCGATCTTTCAAATTGCCCGACGCAATCGTCGGGAAGGGCGATGGAGCTTATCCGCCAACGACGCTCGACTGTGGTACGAAGAATCGCCGACATCCCCGCTTTGGGCCAGTTATATGAGGAGAGCGAACGAGGTCGCTCGAGAGATGTGGGCGCCGTCAACGTGGAAGCAGAGAATGTCCCCAGCGGGGCAATTCACAACCTTTTGCTGCACGCACGAACAGCCGATGAACGAGGAGAGCTGTGCGGCCTTTTTGATGGCAATCGAAGTGGCGCCATCGACCCGACTGCAGTACGCCAGGATGCTGCGGTCTATGTTGGAAATGAATCGAACCCCGCTGGACATGATGATTCTGGGGTTACAAAAGATTGCGGCGCGCTCGGAGACGAAGCAAGCGCGCCCCTTGACAAAGGAAGAGATGACTCAAGTTATCTGCGGCCGGACCGATTGGAGGGAACGTGTTGTTTTTCGACTTGCGTGGATAACGGCGAGTCGTTGGTCCGAGATTGCGGCCACAACCCCCAACAATTTTATAATGGAGCCGGACGGGACCATAATTTTGAATTGGTCCGTGGCGCCGAGGACGGCGAAAGCGGATCCCCACCGCGCCTTTCGGTCCGTC